GATAGTAATTTTAAAATTCCCGAATACCGTTTCATTAAAACTTAATAAATATTCAATTACTGCACGTAATTACGTTTTTTTCAGATTAATAATTGAACTTTACCGGAAATATTTTAAAATGGATTTAATTTAAACTGTAATTAATGATTTTAATTAATTTAGTTAGGAATAATACTTTATGAGATTGCCGATTAAAGTTCCTAAAAAACGTTTTACAGTGAAAGAGCATGCAAAATCGATTCACTCGATTTATTTCGTTGCGGCTTTAATTGATTACTGCGATAGATGAGAAAAACCGTACCTATCGAAATACACTTAGCGTAAACGAAATTGAGGGGAGAAAAGCAAGTAGTAATAGAAAAAGTTGTAATCAATTATTTGAAAGTAGTTAGCTTGGAGCTCAGTAGTTAAAATGCCATACGTGGTATGCTGATGATTCCAAAACCAAATCAGGAACAGGGATAAGAGTATTTTTACCGAAAACTAAATAAAAGGGTATTCCAATAAGAAGTTTCGAATGTTGATAACGAATGAAAAACGTGGAACACAATATCTGCCACAATTCTTTTATGTTATGTTATGTCACGAATTATTCGCCTAATTGCTTCTTTTAATTGTTGAATGGTTTGCGGATTGTTTTTGCTTTGCTTTTTACGTAGCCTCACAAAAAAGCAATCTGCGGCGTCAAGTCGCATGATCTTGGTGGCCAATTTAAGTCTCCATTCCTGGAGATAAGCCTCCCTCCAAACTGCGTACACAAATAAATGCACTGTTTTACCTGCTGTATGACATGTCACACCATCTTGTTGGAACCACACATTCTCTATATCCATATAATAACCATATAACAACATTGTAACAGCTTGTTCGTTTTTATCTTCTTGATAATTGACTTGACTTCGTTAGATTGTTTTCTGTGGACCTATGTGAAAAGGAAAGCTTACGAAAACAATCCATAGACCATTCAAGACTTGAAAGAAAAAATTAGGTGAAGAGTTCGTAACATAACTCCAAAAATATGCTTAGCAGTAATGAAAAATTTCAACAAAAGAATTGTATGCTGCCAGAGAAGTCGTGGTGGCCATTTGGCAGATATTTTGTCCACGTTTAATTGTACACTGTCCAGCCACGCATTCATATAAATAACTTTTAGATATGTTATAAAACTTTTATTTTATGCGTTATCAACATCCAAAACCTCTTACTGGAATACCCCTTATATATCCCGTCATCCCTTTGTGGGACATAGGCTTCCAAGAGATGTTTCCATCTATTCTATTCATCTTTCTATTCTGGGCTGTCTATTTGATCTCTCATCATGTTATCCCAATCTCTTAGCCTTCAGAGGTTACTGCTCTTCTCCAGGTATTTCTTGGTCTTCCCTCTGCGCGTCTTTCCGATGGATTCCATTCAAGTGCCTGTCTTACGATATATCTGTGTGGATATGTTTTTAATCATTCCTATTTGAACGTTCGTTGGAAAAATAAATGTAAAACGACGAAAAAAATTGGTTTTATTTGGGACGCGTGATTAATACTTTCCTGGTTAGACTCCGTTCATGCACCTGTCGTTCCCGAGACTCCCGACACGAATTTAGGTTTGTCATGTATTGTGTGCGGCTTTAAGCGACGACAAAATTACAAAATCGATAGAAATACGGCGAGACCGTGCTCGATTTTCTGTGCAAAGACCATTATACAGCGGGTATTTCGTTTTTCTTGAAGTCATATTAACAAACAAGGAATATTATTTTACAGAATCCAGCTGTGAAGCCTCCATTGATGCGGGGTATTGCGTCGCATCCCTTCTATTTATATAAACTATATTTATATATAATATATTACTGCATATTCGTTTTTATTTAAAAAAATTGGCGCCGGGAGGCACGTATAGCTGCCCATACTAAAATATGTTAATACAAATTTGGTAGGCAGTTCTTTAAGTTTCAAAGTAAAGGAATTTTTCCAATTTTTTTTATCTCAAAAACTGCGACTTTGACTGATTTTGATGTTATTACAAATTTTGTTGCAAATATTATTCCTAATCTTAAATTGAAAACCGCGTTTCGCTAGCTACTGTAATTTTGGAGTTACGATTTTTTAAAAATTTTACCCCCCTCCCATACCCCCTTACAAACCTCCCACTAGGGAATGCAATCCCGCACCAAAATCTCAATCCCGCAAACCTGCGGGATTAAAGCAATCAACCCCGCGGATCCGCGAAATTGCGGGATTGTAAACAATAAATGCTTTTCTTTTCTCTCTCCGATTTTGGGATGCGGTTTGGACCAGGTTTTAGACGCATCTATTGATATTAAGATGCTATGTAGTTTTCGAAAATATATTTAGCGAATTCTCGTATACAGGGTGTTTTATAATAGTGTACAAATTTGGTTAAGAATTTTTTTAGCGGAAATTTACAATTTTTGAAAAATCAAAATTTTAACTATGTACGACTAATCTGTATTGAAATTAGAAAAAAAACAATTTGGTGTTTTTTGCTAATTTTTTGTTTTAAGGAAAATACGAGTTCTTTTCGAAAAATATGCATTTATAGTCATACATTTGGTCCTAAATGGTACAAAAGGCATTGTACATTTTGCATAGGCCCACAATATACTTAAACTAGCTGTACAGAAATTTGGACCGATGTATATAGGGTGTTCAAAAAATATATTTAATATTAAATATATCTTTTGATAAATCTACTTATTTTATAAATAAAAATATTATTCTGATGTTGAAGGTTGTTTTCAACTTCTGTTAGTTATCTGCTTTTAGATACACTCTATATCAATAATTTTTTGGCATATGCAGAATGTACAAAGCTTTTTGTATCATATAGAACCAGTATGACTAAAAATGCATATTTTTCGAAAAAACGTCGTATTTTCCTTAAAACAAAAAAAAGTAAAAACCCCGATCAAATTGTTTTTTCTAATTTCAATACAGATTAGTCGTACTTGGTAAGAATTTCGATTTTTTAAAAATTGTAAATTTGCCTAAAAAAGATTCTTTATCAAATATTCACACTCTTATAAAACACCCTGTATACGAGAATTCGCTAAATATATTTTCTAAAACCACATAGTATTTTAATCACAATAGATGCATCTAAAACCTGGTCCAAACCGCATCCCAAAATCTTTTTTAGTTCAAGAGATATTCAACTTTAAATTTGTCATAAAATTTTGCTTGTCCCGATAATTATGTCCGGCAGTTTATTTGACGAAATTGTCCACAAGTACTAGTTAAACGCTTTTCTTCACTTACGCACGCCAGAAAGAAATCTAACAACTAACCTGTTTGTTTCACTTATTTTTAATCAACAAGCCGTAAGGGGAATCCCCTGGTGTCGATCCCGCAGATCCCCCACGGTAAATCCCGCAAATTCTATCCCGCGGAATAACAGAGGGATTCCGCATTTGCGGGATCCAGCATTGGCGGGATTGCATTCCCTACCTAAGTTTGTGATAGGCTCCTTTCGATTATTTTGATTCAAAGGTCAGAATACTTAATGCTTCATCGAATACTATTGTAACAAACTAAAAGGCATGTAATCTAATACGCTTTTAATCTACGATACTGTAACGTTTTTAGTTCGTTACATGTCTTTTTTATATATGATTTATATGATGTCTGGCGTATCGTCATCGGATTCCGTATCGTTCAGGCCTGATAATTTATTTGGCACGCTTGGCATGATTTTTACGTTCCCTAGTCGCCAACCCTGCTATCGTTTCACTGTTCTGTGGAGGCGCGCGCTGTCAACATCGCTTCTGTCAACTCTCCGCGCTTAACCTCACTTTTGCAACCCGGCTTTTAGAAATGGTGATTATTTAAATCTTGCTGTATAATCTGAATCAGCTGCCATTTCGAAGCAACAGGTAAAGCTGAGATATTTTCTTTATTAGATTCGTTATTATTATTGAATATTTTTAGGGTAGAGTTTTGGATGTCCCAACTTAACTTGTATTTGTAGTTTGCTGGCACGTTGGCGTCCCTTTTCTTTTGTCCTCCAGAATGTTACATAGAAGAAAGGAAGTTTCTTTGTTTATTATTGAGCCCTCGAAAGTAATTCGAGGTAGGTTTATTTTGTTTATTAGACCTTGTTTGGTTTTAAACAAGAGTTTCATATTTTTAGGGTCCAAGGTACGGACTATTTCCAAGTTACGGACATTATCCAAGGTCCTAGTAGTGTTCCAAGGTACGGGTAGTGTCCCCATATTGCCACAGTATGGATACAGCGTAAGCCCCATGCTGCTTCGCTCCTATTTCTCAGTCTAGTCAGTAGTTACGGCTGTATTGATTCATGGTGTCCTCATTCTGGCCCCTTTTGTTGTATTGGCCAACAGGATAGCCGAGAGACAGTGCAGAGATATGAGCCTACCTCACGCTGCTATTCTTCGAAACAGGATTGACTCAAGAACAGCTAAGTGTAGATTTAGGTTCAGATTTTCAGACGATTTTCAGTCTTAACTTCACGTACATTTTAAATAATATCGTACAGACTATATTTAGTGGTTAGATTATTAAGAACATTTATGTTGATTTAGTAGTTACAATATGATTTAGATCTTAGGTTTCATTACATTACCAAACCACTATAATAATTATTAAAATTCTACAATGTCATTTACCAACAAAGAACATCATGAATAAATATAGTCATTAGTTTTAAGTAATATACAACTGTGTTTTCTTTCTCTGTACATGCCTGGCGCCCAATATCTATATTTTTTTGTTTATTGTTATTGATTAGTTTTCTCTCTAGTGAAATACCTTACCCACGACTGCTCTCCGATGAAAAGCTGCCGTTCGCAGTGGTAATGTTTATAAAAAAAACGCTACAATACTTTGACAATTAACATATCCTTCTCTCAAAGTTATATGCACAATTAATTCAAGCCCCTAAAACCGCACACTCCGTCTTAAGATAGTGAGCTAGCATTAAATATTCCCCAACATCTTAACACAGAAAGCATCCCAATTCGTACTCACCGGTTCCCAGCCGGCCCATCTCAGAGCCCTTTGAAGTCGCTCGGCCTTTATCACCACCGCCATGCCCATGACGTCATCGTCTGGACCACCAACGTCCCCGCCCCCACCTCGGCCCCTGTCCAACTGTCCATTCTCGTAAATCGTCGGAATACCTGTGGCACGTTGTTCGTCTTGCGACGCCATAACCGCGATACCGATGGAATGTCCTTTACAGGTGGTTTTGTTTCGTTTTGATCGGATAAAAGGTGTACTTTTGGCTGTTTTGTTTTTCTTGGTGTTAACTTTTTTTGTTTTATATACCTACTGTCGTTCATAAAAGGCAAAATATATGTCTATTACAAAATAAAAATCTTTCAAAAAGTGTTCAAGTACAAACTATCCAATCAAAAATATAAAATGTAACAAATACCAAGTCAACGCCATTCTTTGATATATCTATAAACCAAGACAGTTGAAAATTATAGATTGTATAGGAGGGGGCAAGTTAATCACCGCGACCTTTTTAGATCTATTGTGTCCCCCTTTCTTGTGTTATTATTCATCATTCAGTCTCAGGGATTTGACAAAAGCCTGTATCTGAGGTATATGTGTATATGAGGTGTATTATGGAGGCATTGGGAGAACAAACAGCATGCAACAACAACAAAAATTTTTGGTGGAATAATAACTTATAGGAGCAGAAAAACCAAAAACAAAAATTGTACTTCAAATGGCTACAAACTAAACAAGATGCGGATTACTTAGCTTATAAACACCAAAGAGCAAAATTTAAGAAGATAATTTTGGAAGAGAAGAATAACCAATGGGAAAAACGATGCCAAGAGTTAGAAAGCTACATAGGAGGAAGAGGAACATCAGAATCATGGAAATTCATAAATTCCATTCGAAATAATAAGAAGACCAAGCTAAAACTTAATGTAATTGCGAAAGATAGCTGGAAAGAATATTTCGAAAAAATGTTAAATGAACACAGAGATGAATATAAATTGCAACCAGAAGAACTACCATTTAATTTAGAAAGAGAAAAAATTAACATCGAATTAGATCAATTAAAAACGGCAATTACCCAACTTAAAAATAAAAGATCAGCCGGCCCAGGAGGAATCCCCAATGAATTAATAAAATGTGGCACACCAAAACTTCACAATATTATTAAAACACTCTTTGAAAATTGATAATAATATAATATAATAATTCCAAATTAAAACCTTCTATAAAACTATGAACTGCATGCTTCTGCAACTTTTTAACTATAAAAAATAGTAAATATTGTTACAACTTGTATTTGTATTTGGCTCATATACTACTACAGTTTGCAAGAAAATACTTTGATGGAAGCATTCTACAACATAAATTTATACGAGCTTTTTTACTAATTTTCATCTGCAAAATATGTTACCGAAGTTTCCCAAATACAATTTAGACCACCCTGTATATTGTAAAGTTTGCAACAAAACGACATTATTTTTATCAGCTAAAATGTAAAAAATAGACTATACCCATTAGACTTCTAAATTAAGAAAATTCAATTTTAAATTGCTTTAGAATAGACCTTGTTAATAAGTCACTCAACACGACTGTATCTGTCAAATTCGAATCACTTAATAACCCTCACAAGTGCCCTATTTCACTTGAAAACTTTCAAAATCACCACTAAATCGGTCCGTTCACCCGTCACAATAGCGCACAAACACAATTACACGCCCACCGTACACGAAACTTTTTCGAATTTTCACAACCATCTGGCGGTTAACTAATCGTCCAAACTGCCGATGCCGATGGATTTATCGGTACGGAACAACTTTTTAAACGATCCGAAAATGTGTTGTTTGTTTTTCTTCTCTTTCTACTTTTCGCCTGTGTGTGTTTTCAAACAGAAACGATTTTTTTCTGGTTATTACCGACAGACGCACGCGACGGTTTTTTTTCGAAAATCGGAAAACTAGACTGAAATCGCCCGAAATGAGTGAAGGAATCGTACAAGTGCAGCGACCAAGAGAGGTATATTTAGCTGGGGGGATCACGTGATCTTTTAGTCTAATTCTGCTTTCCAGATACTGGATATATTTTCGTATTACATCTAAATTCAAGCAGTACTATTGAGAGGGAGAAAGCACTTTCGAAATTATGTGTCTTTTATGACACTGTGAAGCTTCATTCGGAACTCTCTGCTTATCTCCGCTCATCCCTGATAAAATTATATTTTCACTTTTTTTATCTAATTTTATTTTTTTTAATTCTGTTTATTTTTATAATTTAATTTATTTCTATTTTGTTTTTGGGGTTGCACCACTCTGGTACTTTGTGTCATTGTATCGGTTGTTTAATGGCGGTGCGATCCCTTTAGACACACATTTAGTAGTTGTAAAATTCATATAAATATATAATAAATATACATATAATAATAAAGTTTTTGTCAAAAATACGTGAAGTCTACAAATATTAGTTTTTGGTAAAATATTGTGTTACTAGGTTAAAATAACTATTTTATTTTGTTATTTGCTTAAGGCGGGTTCTCACTTGTCAGTTTCGCTGACGCAGTCTGACTGATTCAGTGATACTGAACAAACAATGAACGTCAGAACACATTTTCATGTTAAATGATCAGTATATTCGTACTTTCAGTTAAAGTGAAAACCAGTTCTACTTTTTTTCATTTTGACTGATCATTATCGAATAATCCATCTTACAATAAAAAAATATGCCGGTTTTTATTTATTTCGCTATCCTCCCTCAACTTATTTTTTCCTATTAGTATTCTCCCTCAACTTTTTACAATGCGACAAATATGTAAGTGTTATTATTATTTTTTTAAATTTATTAACCAATTATTTTAATTTCCTTAAAATACTGTCGGTCGATCGGCACGCCACTGGAAATTGACCTCAACCGTCTAATCTTTGTAAACAACTACACTGTTGCCGTTGCACCGATACCCTATTCCCTTCTTTGTCCATTCTCTCTCGCACTGGTTGATTTTCGCAAACCAATGTGTGATGAAGGTTTAGAGCGTTTTATGAATGGATTGTTGTATCTCCCGAGTTTAAATATCTTTGTTCACAGCATATTTCGTTCTATTAGCCCGCGGTTACATTGGACGCGAGTCCGTGCGTTTTTTTATAAGTGCGAGCTCTGACGGAATTTACTCGTACGACTATTTTATTATAGCCCGTGGTTACATTGGATGCGTGTTCGTGCGTTTCTTTGGTCGTACGTGCACGAACGTACACGCAGTAGAATCTCACAAAAAGTGAGGACCAATTAGAACTTTACATTTTTCAGCTTTCATTAAAACTTAATTTAATTAGAAGTATTAATAACATTCAATTCCCACACATTATTTTTTGGCACTCTAAATAATAAGTACGTCCAACATCCAAAAAATTGAAGGAGATATATTTAGCTTTTCCAAAAACATGACCGTCCTCAGTTAATTCTTAATAGTTCTCACCAGACATTGAATACAACTCTGTCTGTACGCTATCTAAATAAAAATAAAGTTTGAGAAAAAGCACTTGTTCAAAATTGTTTTTTTTTTCTCGCTCGGAACTGAAGGTTCGAACGAAATAAAACAGACCGGGGCACTTAAAATACACTATAAAAACTATTTAATCATTTCAATATAACAGCTTGAATATTATGTAATAATAATGTATCCAGAAGCTTTATATATTCAATTTTATTTTAAGCAATCCAGATATTAGTCCGAATACTTGTTATTGTTATATATATTATACTAGCTTTTTCCCGCGACTACGTTCGCGTTACACCTCGAATCGTTCGTGCATTGATTTAAATTATTGTATACTTCTTTATAGATAGAGCTAGTGAGCCTTACAAATGCAATATAATATTTAAACTATGTTTTTAAGAGTTTTAGAGCTACTCGTATTTCATTTGAAAGTTAGCAATTGTCTAGGTATTATACAGGGCAAGTGTTGAATAAGTGCAAATATTTTCAGGGCTGGTAGATCTCGATAAAAGAAACATATTTTCTCTTTACCATTTTTCAAATAACTCAAAATAACCGAGTTATTATGTCTGGTCAATTTAATCTACTACCTATGTTTATTGATTTATTGATTTATTGATTTATCGATTTATCGATTTATCGATTTATCGATTTATCGATTTATATATTTATATATTTATCGATTTATCGATTTATCGATTTATCGAGTTACCGATTTACCGATTTATCCATTTACCGATTTATCCATTTACCGATTTATCGATTTGTCGGTTTATCGATTTGTCGATTTGTCGGTTTATCGATTTATTGATTTATCGGTTTATCGATTTATGGATTTATGGATTTATCGATATCAAATTATCGATTTATCGATTTATCGATTTATCGACTTATCGATTTATCTATTTGTCGATTTATCGATTTATCGATTTGTCGATTTATCGATTTATAGATTTATCTATTTATCGATTTTTCGACTTACATTTAAATTGTTTTTTCTTAATTTTTCTTCAAGCCAACTAAAATAAGAACTGGCAATTAATTTTCTTCTCGGTAATTTGGTAATGGATTTATGGATTTATTGATTTATTGGTTTATTGATTTATTGATTTATTGATTTATTGATTCATTGATTCATTGATTCATTGATTCATTGATTCATTGATTCATTGATTCATTGATTCATTGATTCATTGATTCATTGATTCATTGATTCATTGATTCATTGATTCATTGATTCATTGATTCATTGATTCATTGATTCATTGATTCATTGATTCATTGATTCATTGATTCATTGATTCATTGATTCATTGATTTATCGATTTATGGATTTATGGATTTATTGATTTATCGATGTATCGATGTATCGATGTATCGATGTATCGATTTATCGATTTATCGATTTATTGATTTATTGGTTTATTGGTTTATTGATTCATTGATTCATTGACTTTTTGATTTATTGATTTATTGATTTATTGATTTATTGATTTATTGATTTATTGATTTATTGATTTATTGATTTATTGATTTATTGATTTATTGATTTATTGATTTATTGATTTATTGATTTATTGATTTATTGATTTATTGATTTATTGATTTATTGATTTATTGATTTATTGATTTATTGATTTATTGATTTATTGATTTATTGATTTATTGATTTATTGATTTATTGATTTATTGATTTATTGATTTATTGATTTATTGATTTATTGATTTATTGATTTATTGATTTATTGATTTATTGATTTATTGATTTATTGATTTATTGATTTATTGATTTATTGATTTATTGATTTATTGATTTACTTATTTACTTATTTACTTATTTACTTATTTACTTATTTACTTATTTACTTATTTATTGATTTATTGATTTATTGATTTATTGATTTATTGATTTATTGATTTATTGATTTATTGATTTATTGATTTATTGATTTATTGATTTATTTATTTACTTATTTACTTATTTACTTATTTATTGATTTATCGATTTATCGATTTATTGATTTATTGATTTATTGATTTATTGATTTATTGATTTATTGATTTATTGATTTATTGATTTATTTATTGATTTATCGATTTATCGATTTATCGATTTATCGATTTATTGATTTATTGATTCATTGATTTATTTGATTGACAATAAGCGTGTCCGGTTCAAGTGTCCAGGTTTCGCATGCATAGTTCATGACTGGTAGGACACATTGGTCGAATGTTTTCTTCTTTAGATAGAGTGGCATTCTAGATTTGAATACGATGGAGTTTCTTCCTTTTCTCCTTATTGATTAATTGACTTATTGATTTATTGATTTATCGATTTATCGATTTATCGATTTATCGATTTATCGATTTATCGATTTATCGATTTATCGATTTATCGATTTATTGATTTATTGATTCATTGATTTATTTGATTGACAATAAGCGTGTCCGGTTCAAGTGTCCAGGTTTCGCATGCATAGTTCATGACTGGTAGGACACATTGGTCGAATGTTTTCTTCTTTAGATAGAGTGGCATTCTAGATTTGAATACGATGGAGTTTCTTCCTTTTCTCCTTATTGATTAATTGACTTATTGATTTATTGATTTATCGATTTATCGATTTATCGATTTATCGATT